TATATATATATATATATATATACATATATATATATATATATAGTATATGGTAATATATATTATATATATGTAATATGATATAATTGAAATGCGACGTTGCCAAATAATACAGATAATACGATATAATTGAGACGCGACGTTGTCAAATAGTACATTTGCTAATATACAACTGTTTTGTCAGAGTAATATAGAAATTTTTCAAGGACATTAACATGTTTTAGCAACATTATCAATGTAATTGGATATAACACTTGCAAAAATACAACATTTGCAATTTTATCAAAGTATAGCTGCTTTGTTAGCGTAATTTAAGATTTTTTTCAAGAATGACGATTATCAATATAATTTGATGCAAATGCGACATTGCCAAATAATATATATAATGTGATATAATTGACATACAACGTTGCCAAATAGTGCGTATAATGATATAAAAAAACAAGATTTAGTCAAATAACGTCATAAATCAATTCGGCAGCGCAACTGACAGCATGGAGCACGATTTGATTGAGCAAGCTACTCTGCTTGGTACTGTAGACGAGTAGGAGAGAGTGAGCATGAAAAAACCATTTTTTTTCAAAATATGAAAAAAATAATTGATGATGAATAATTTGATCTGGTGTTAAACAAATATTAGGTTGTTCGGAAAGTAATTTCGTTTTTTCCCAACAGAGGACTTATATTTTTTCACAGCCAACTTCACACTTAAGCCGCATAATCATTATATATTTTGACAGCTGCTATAGCAAGGCTTGCTTGTGAAAAAAGTTCTACGCAGTAGTTTTTAGTTGGTGCCCTATCGAATATGGAAAGTGAAAAGCAGCATTTTCGGCATATTTTACTTTTTTACTATCGAAAAGATAAAAATGCTGTTCAGCAAGAAAAAAATTATCCGATGTGTATGGAGAAGATGTATTGACAGAACGCCAGTGCCAAAACTGGTTTGCAAAATTTCGATCTGGCAATTTTGATGTTGAAGATGCACCACGTTCTGGAAGGCCAGAACGATGTTGAAGCTGATGAAGACACAATAAAGGCATTAATTGATGCAAACCGGCGAATAACAACTTGTGAGATCGCTGAGAGATTAAATTTATCGAATTCGACCGTTCATGATCATTTGAAACGCCTAGGTAGGAAAATCGTCTTTCATTTTCATAAAAAAAAAATGAAATTACTTTCCAAACAACCTAATATAATCGCTTTCTTACTTAAGTATACTCATTTATCTATAAGATTCATTTAATCAGAAAAATAATATTTAGTCATTGATAGAGATTTAATCACTATTTTTCATAAACAAGAAATTCAGCTCTTTCAAAACAACGTGATTTTGAAAAAGCCATTACCTGTTTTGAAAGAGCCAAGTATTAAATTATATAAGCTTTAATACAAATAAAATCAAAATGTCATTCTTTAACAAATCTTATTTTTTTAAAAAATTAATAAATGTGTTAAAAATAGAAAATATAATATTTCTAATTAAAAACATTGATTGCAAAAGAAATGAAAATTTTCTTTATTGCCATATGAAGTATAAGTCAAAGTATTATACAATTTGCACCAGTCTTCATTACTTACAAAATAATCTATTAAACATAATAAATGAAAAGAGTAAAAGTTGAGTCGGTAGTACGTAGGCTGCTGGAAAAGTTTCTGCAGTCTAGTACTTCCAGTGGCGCCAACGTTTTGCTACTATCATATCCGTAAAATTAGACGTTTTTAACCTATAATTCAATTGACAGTTTGTACTCAAGCCAACTAGTTTTGTTTGCATAGTATTTTAAAAGAAGTTATTTTGTAACAAAATGGAAATTTCGCGTGAAAATTTTCGGGCAATGATTTTTTACGATTACAAATGTAATCTAACTTTGAAACAATGCATCGATCGACTTCATTTAGCTTTTGGGGATGAAGCACCATTCAATAGGACTGTTTATAATTGGTTTGCCGAATTTCAGCGTGGACATATCTTTCTTAATGATGAATTCCGTGAAGGTCGTCCACGTCTGTTGTTGCCACTAATGTTGATGCTGTGCGTGAAATGATTGAGCGAGACCAGTATATAACATACCGCGAGATTCTGGCATCCTTAGGCATTGACATGAAAGTAATATATACGATTTTGCATGATCACTTGAGCCTACGGAAACTTTGCAGTTTGGATCCCACACAATTTGACCGAAGCTAAAAAACAGGCTCGTGTTAAATGGAGCAAAGAAATGCTCAAGAAATTCAACCAAGGTTGGTCAAATTTGGTCTACAACATCGTTATTGGAGACAAAACATGGATCTGTTCGTATGAGACCGAAAGTAAACAACAATCGACTGTTTGGGTATTTCAAAATGAACGGTAACCAACAAAAGTTGTTCGTTCACGCAGTGCTGCCAAGCAAATGATTGCTTGTTTCTTCGATTATACCGGACATGTGACAACCGTGGCTTTAGAGGATCGAAGAACTGTAAATACTAATTGGTATACAACAATTTTTTTGCCAGAAGTCATAAATGAATTGTGTAGAACAAACCGAAATCGTCGCATTATCCTTCATCACGACAACGCCAGCTATCACACAGCACGTCAAACCGTTGATTTTTTATCCGGTAATAATGTCGAACTGATGATTTATTGTCCGTATTCACCTGATTTATCACCTAATGACTTCTTTTTGTTTCCAAACATTAAAAATAAGATAAGTACTAAATCAAAGGACTCTTTCTGTATAAACCAAATGACAATAAGTAACGGGCAAAGTAAGAGTCAACACGTTTCTTTAAAATTAACAAAAGAATATATTTCAAACAACAAAGGCAAAATTACATAACGTTACAAGTTTCGGCTCCAGGATTGAGCCCTCTTCAGACATTAGCATAACGCAAAAATCGCAGAACAACAACAATCGTCGTAAATTATCACACATATCATTCACAGTTCGGATGAGTCTTGATGTAGAGTTCGACATTATTCCTGTACGATTGAACTTGTATTGATTTCAAATGTATTGAAAATTTTGCCAAAGCTCTAGTTGATAGAAGAAGAAAAACTTCAACAAAACTGTACACAAAAAGATCTACGTGTAAATGAATTAACATACCGGAAATCTATTAAAAATAATAATAAAAAATAATAATCAAAACTCACCAGAAATCATGTGTAAAAAAACAATACAAACGAGTGTGTCCAAAGTGAATAAAGAACTTTCTGAATATATCCCGAAAGAAAGAACGCAGATGTGCAAGACAGACATCGCACGCCGGCCACTATGTACGCTCAGTAGTGCGGATCAAAACAGACTGAGTGAGGAAACAAACTGTTAGCATCAGAAAGTCAAACTTTATTTATGATGGGAATGTAAGCCTTGTGTAGGCCATCGGTGTCAGTCTGTAAATTCAGACCATTCTTCTGCTTCTTGATATTGAGCATCTCGGAAACCAAACGTCTCCGGTAACAAGGCTCCTCGTCCAAAATTACGACTTCGTCCCATTGGAACTCGTGATCCAGCTGTCTCCTATGCTCAGTTATGACAGAACGCCCAGAAGTGTTGTATCTAATGTGATTGCGATGTTCAGCAATCCTGGTTTTCAATCTTCTGCTCGTCTGTCCCACGTATGAAGCATCACAATCTCCACACGAAATCCTGTAGACCACATTGCTCTTCGAAGTATATGGACAAATATCTTTCTGTACTTTGATGTATTTGTTCAGTTTATTGAGACTACGGAAAGATACCCTGATGTCGTTTTTATTGAAGCGTTTGAATTTCTCCGTGTGGAAAGGGATGAATGGCACCGTAAGCCAAGAAACAGACTCATTCTCCCTGTCATTGTCAGCCAAAACTCTATGTGTTGTGTGTCTGTTTCTAATCAAATTTTTTATACGTTGATTGACTGTGTCAAAAATGAAGGACAGTGGATAGTCATTGTCTAATAAAATGTTGATAATAAATGTCAAATTCCGTGTATGAAACCTAAAGTCTGATAGTAAAAAGGCTCTGTCAACCAGTGAAAGAATCGTCCCTCTCTTTTGTGCCATGGGATGGTTAGAATTAAAATTCAGAAACCTTCCTGAAAAGGTCGGCTTACGGTACCAGTCAAAACCAAACCCGTTCTCATTAATAGATATGGTAACATCTAGAAAATTAATTTTGTCTCCCCCCACTTCAGAAATAAATTGCAAACGCGGGTGGAATGAGTTAAACTTTTCTAATACCGAATCAATTTTCGAGGGAACAACCGCAGTGCAAATGTCATCCACGTATCTGAAATAAAATACTACCTCCAAGTCCAACGACATCAAGGACACTGTCTCAAGTCTCCTCATCACCAAGCCCGCTATTACAGGAGATAAAGGAGAGCCCATGGAAGTGCCGAAGCTTTGTCTATAAATTACATTGTTAAATTGAAAAAAATGTGGAGTCGAGAATAAACTTTATCGCTCCTAGAAACTCTTCCCTGGGAAGAGAGCAATCTCTGGAAATGGAATCCCACTGTTCATCGACACAGTCGACCGCTATCCCCATTGGAACATTCGTGAACAAAGATATAACATCCAATGAAATTAATTTGTATTCATCTGAAATGTGTAACCCTTTTAATTTATCGACTAATTCGAAACTATTTTTAATGTAACTATTCGCTTTGGGAATGGATTTGTATAATATGTTATGCAAATATGTAGCCAATGGATACAGCGGGCTACCTATCGAAGAGACGATGACCCTTAGAGGACAGCCAGGTTTATGAATCTTCGGCAATCCATAGATACTCGGAAGTGATCCGTCACTACAATATAACTTACTGTACACTGTCTAGTTCCGCTTCTTGTTTCTGCGAGAATAAACACTAGGTATCATTTTTTAAGTACATCGCTGGTTACTGCCTCATTTAATTTTTCGTTTTCCTTACCATTCTCTGCTATTTCTTCATCTGATTATTTAATTTGCAAAACTCCGAATTTTCCTTTCGAATAGCAATGGCGCCTTTCGAACTGCGCATCAACAATGAAAAGAGTAATGGATGTGGAATAACATTTATCTCTCAGTTCTAATAATTCGGCCGGCCAATTATCTTCTTTGTTTGTTTCAACTGATAATAGTACCTACATAATTTTAACAGATTTTACAGTAAGCATTAATTAATTTAAAGTTTTAGGTTACTTGAAAAAATAACAAAATTAATATAAGATACATATTCTAATTGTTAAATATAGATAACTATTGCTGTAAAAAAAAAACATTTATTAAAAATAATTATTTCTACAATTATAAATATTATAAGATGTAAAGACAATTACCTCTAATTTTTCTGCGAAATTTCCTGTTTTTCTTTTTTTTAGTTGGCTCCTGTCATAGAGTGTACGGAAACAATTCGGCTAAATCATGACATAGAGTTTTCTTGGAGTGATGAGAGTCAAATGGCCCAAGGAATTTCTGCGTGACGATATACTTCGTTACCATATTCAAAGCCTCGACAGGCTTCGATGCTCGCGGCAGTAAAACGCGCCGCTGGGATGGGAGAGAGGTCAAAGCTAGGCGCAGGCGTAGGAGCGCCGTGAACATGCCGCGAGAGAGCGCCGTGAAAATTTAAATTATAGATTCCGATCATAGGTGATACCAAAGCTCGCGAACAGACAACATTTTGGCAGAGGGATTACGTAGGACGTAGATGATTGAGTCATTGAGGGTTTGCTCATTATCTTGGGAGATATCTTGGAGAGCCTGACACAAAGGGATGACAGACGGGATTCAGAAATGGAGCAGACAAAGATGGCGTGAATTAGGTCTTGAAGAAGTGCTCCGCAGGAAGGATTATCAACTAAGTTTTTTTGGAAAAGGCTATAATTAAGGTTAAAATGATTGCTTCTCAATCGATTCACCGTGCGAGAAGGAGATGGGTACTATAAAACCACGGTCTTTTCTTCTTCACATAGAATTTTGAAAAAAATAAATTCCCTTCTCCCGAGATGTTCTTTGAATATATTTATCGCAATCCCTACCTAAATGAGCTTTAGGTATTGAAAACTACTTCGAAATTATCGTTATAGTTTTTTCGTATTTTCGGAGCGGACAAATAGCTCGTCGACACAAAGCGATCAAAATAGCAAACATACCTCGATCCTATGATAATCACGCTTTGTCGCAAAATGGCACACGACTCTCCTTGCGCAGATCGAGAAAACCGTTGATCGCGCACACGCTCCGTGTGAGAATCGACAGCTCGCCACCGGATCCCGATCAATATAGTTAAAATATCGCTCTTAACGCAGATTCACGAACAGTTAAGTGCGAACGAACCGACTCGTCGTCGTGTATAACCGCTGCCTGCTACCATAACGTGAACGGTATATGCGTACCGCGAGACAGCCTAGTGCGCGAGACTTACCAACGTTTACGATAAGATTTGCCCGTCTCGTCACTACTTTCAATAAACACTTTGTCAAACGCGAAGTTATTCAATGTTGTACCAAGGCGAACTACCTGTGTACGCATCGAATCGAACGCTTTAAGTGTCGTAAACCTTTTACTACGAGTATCGTTTATTGCCCGCTTCAAAGAAAATTCAAAAGGAATTCAACTGTATAATAAAACTAACTTATTATTAGGAGTATAAATAAGTTTCCGCCGTTTTTTATCAAAAATTGGGCATTTATTGTGAAAGAACGGAACCTAATGTTTTATTCGAAGTATTGTCCATCGCTAGCCACTACTTTTTTCCATCTTTCTGGCAGCATACAGATACCGCATCGGAAAAACGCTTCATCTTTTGAAGCTATCCACGAATCGACCCAATTTTTGGTATCTTCACATGATGTGAAGTGTTGCTCAGACAGGCCATGCGCCATCGATCGAAACAGGTAGTAATCAAAAGAAGCAATGTCTGGTGAATACGGCGG